AGATAGGGCATCTCCAGTGAGACTCCTCATGAACAGCTTCATGCGAATCCTTTCATCTTTCCCAACTCCCACAAGCTTATCACAATATGTTCTCAAATGTACCTTCGGGTCACCTGTTCTGTCAAACATTTCGAACTTAGAAGGTTTGTGACCCTCCGGTAGTTCCACGTCTGGCTGAATGCACAGATCCTCATAATTCAGACCTTCAATTCCTTTGCCTCCTTCAACACCCTAGACTCAGCTCGTGAGCTTCTTAAACTCTTCCGCCATGTTCTTAATGAGCAGTCTTTCTCGGTGTATTCTAGAGCATATGAGATTGGTTGAGTAGAGTGAGGTATGGTTTCCATATATATGGGATTGTTTTGGTGGGTGCCAGGGGTGGTTGGAGTGTAGTGGTGATCATTAGTTGAGTTTTGTGGATCGAGGATAGGTTGTGGGATATTCTGAGGAGTGTAGTAAGCAGTTTATGGGTATTGAGCAGGAGGATGTTGGTGTTAAAGAGGAGTGGGTATTGGTGAAGGATTAGGATTTTGGGGAGGTGTTGCATATGGATGGGGTGCTTGAGGATTTTGTGGACATTGGTTTGGTGTGTTTTAAGGAGGTGATGGATTTTGAGCATTTTGTTGGTTAATGTCTGGGATGTTTAGGGTGAGGGAGAGGATTGCCAAGTTGCGGACCTGCTCAAGTTCTCCTTGCAACTCTAGTATTTTGTGTTCCAATCGTAGGACCAAATCATTCTGGATCGGAGTACTCCGACCGTCTAAAGTTTCAACATTCTCAGCATGTATAGCGTTTTCTTTTCGGATACCACTCATATCACCCATCTTAGCCTTTCCTTTGCTTTTCAGATTACTTAGAGGAGGAGGATGTGGAGGGTCTCTAGATCTTGTGTGATATGCTAACGATGCCAGTATATGTGAACTAACCTTAGGGGATGGGAATAATCAAAATAAAGAAAAACAAAAGGTAGACAAATCAGTAGGGATTTTGAAAAGCAATTGCAGGATTTAAACACGTATTGCGGAAACCTAAATTCACATCCTAATTTGGGGAACCTCGTTGTTTCCGAGGTAGGCCTAGCGATAAATAGATTTGGAGACATTTAATGTTGATAAATGCCTTATTTCATTAATGTATTAAATAGGACGAACCTAAAAATGATGATAAATAAATGAGTTACTAATGGCATCTGCCTTATTATATTCGAATTCCAAAATGACTCAAAACAGATAAACCTAATCAACTTGGTCCCGGAGGGATCTTCCCCATATTTGGCCCTCTTGGCTCCATCAATCAGATTCCCCAGGTCGTGCATGTCCAGCAGTAGGTATGCCCTTGCTAGATGTCCTCCTTCGTTGCCCTCTGCATTCTGACAATCTACGACCTTTTTCCTTATCTTCCCCTTTAGTTCCATTAGACCCTGCTCCAAGTACTCCAACCTTTCTGCAGACCTTGTAGCCATTTTTTCCACTCGTTGATTGATTCCATGTCGAACTTGTGTTGCTCTAGATGCTTGGCTTCGGATTCAAGGACCCTCTTGTGTAGCCTCTCATACTTCACTTTTGCTTCAGCGACTTCATCTATGACCCTGTTTCCTTGACCAACCCTTGGCTCGAATACTCTTGCTACGTTATCTTCTAACCATGATGGGTATAAGTACACATGAGTGGCGTGACATTGATCTAGATCGATGATATCCTTTTCCGAGATAATCTTCAAATGCCACATGTGCTGGGCCTCACACTTGTATGAACGACATCATCCTGAAAATCGGCTCTGTAATGACTCATTTTGGAGACTCGTGATATGACTTGTTTTATACTAGCTTGTCTCATAACCTTGATAAGAACATAGGGATGTAATCCCCTTAACCCAATCAACACCAAGTGCGGAACATCCCTGGATATGATGATAAATTCATTGTTAGGGAACCACTCGAAAATCCAGTGAATCTGGTCCTCGATCAGATTGTTAAAAAATTGTGCCCATTCTATAGCATTCTCTGGTTGTGCAAATCTATCTAGGATAAAGGTCATTCTTTTAGGATGGTGGAAAGCGATGTGATCATTCCATGGTCTCAGTGGAAACACTTGGCGGTACTGACCCCTCTGAAGATGTTCTAACAACCAAATCTATAGTAGCAAGTTACAACCCTCAAAGTGTTTGAACACTTTCTTGTAACGATCTAGAGCTCGGTATATGTCTGCTACAATTATTGGGACAATAGTATAGGTTTGTCCCTCAATTCCCTCCATTAAAGCTTTGGTTACCATGGCCAACCTGGTGTGAATTCTGTCCCCTTGGCTTGGGAACACTATCATACCCAGAAAGCAGACGATGAATGCAAAAACCCTGCGATGATTCCAACCCAGGGAAGTGATGGAGAATTCATCATGAAAGATACGGTAAGATTTGCTATGTTCATATCATTCATAGAGGAAGCCGAAGGGTATGTAGGACTTCTTCAAGCACTCCAAAACCTCATTCTTTCTTAGACCCATCATTTTCAGAAACCCCTAGTATTATGGTTTTATGGTACTAGTAAACCGGGACTATCCCATGGTAATCCAGCAAACCCTTCGATTTCCTCTAGGAGAGGAGTCCATTTTATGTCACTAAAATGGAATACAGCTCTTTATCCATCCCACAACATAGTAGCAGCTTCTATCAACATGTTGTTTGGTTGGATATCCAATAAAGAAGGTAAATTTCCAATAACCCTTTTCACGTGATTTTTATCGCTTGGCGGAAGATTTTCCCACCAGTCTAACAATAGTGGTGGTATACTTTGGACCATGCCAAACCTGGGGACTTCGTGCCTCATTTTCTTCAAAATAAATAAAGTTAGGCCCTTGCCCCCTCCTGATTCGACTACTTACACATTAACGATTAGCATGTCGGCATTTATCTCTCCAAATAATGCACATATCGTGAATGCATCCGTTGGGATTATAGAAATCCCGGTGGACTTTGGACAAGGATTTATTAGAGGCTTATTATGCGGACAACATATTAACCCCAGCTAGGTTTGACCATGATGCATGTACAATTATTTATCAGAGCAAGGTTTCTATAGAACTCTAGACGGTTACCCTCAAGCGGACAACTTGAGGGGGAAAGGCATGGAACCGTCGACTACATGGCTGATTGACTAGTTTTATCGCAAATAAGACTTTCCGAATTTAAAGGGTGATTTTAGGAAGAGCACGAACACTCAAGTGCCGCTATGGTATTAGTACGCACGAGTGGAATATGATGTTGAGCATGGAGTTATGTAAAAAGAAATAATACGTTGTCAATTATTTTCATGATGAATAATGATAAAATGCGGTATTTAATAATTGTAAAGACATTTAAGAAAAGAAAAACAAGGAGACAAGTCAGTTTCCATAGTAAAAGTGATAAAGCAAGGGAAGGCAATCATAAATAAATTCACTTAGAATGGGCAGAGGTGTGCAAGTATTAATGGAATAATAAAGACATTCTTAAAGACTAATTCACAGACAAGTTCGTTATGGTAAGAGCATAAAGATATCCCCAGTAGAGTCGTCATGCTGTTGTGCCTCCTTTTTCTTGCGAAATCGGGTTTCGACATTTTCTGGGATAACTCCTTTCTGTGAGGGTAGGGAATTGGATTTGAAAGAGGCGCCACCTAACGGATTAAGGTGTGTTAGGTCACCTAGAGAAATTAACTCATATAACCAGTCTACATCACCAAAGATCGGGTAAGGGCTCGAAATTACCTTGAGAGGAAGGTGTTAGGCACCCCTCGAGGTCCACAACGGTGGGTCCCGGCCAAATTAAATCCAGCGAATTAGTCTTAAAAGAGAAGAAAACAATTTGGACAGGTACAATATTCAATTTATTTTTACACATGAGTATAGGGGTGGTTTTAAGTTTTTTAGCCTATAGGATTATCCCATGTAATGCTTTGCAACTCCCTCAAGTCGGGGTTTTACTCATAGCATTAGCGCATGGGCTATCATTTCCTTTACTACCCAATTACTATCTTCAAGTTGTTACTTAAGCGCGCTAATTGATTCTAAATCGTACCATATGCGTGCACTACCCGTCCCTTACTTATGGTCGTGGAGGTATTAGGACCTCTATTTGGGATGGTTCTAGACCAATCTATGTTTCCTAAAAATATGAAATCTAGGTGACACTCAAAAAGCAAATAGGAATTTCAAGTAAAAAGCAAGTATAGGCTCATATTAACCTCCACACATAAGCAACAAAAGCACACATTTAAACCAGAAAACTTATTAATTTAAGATCCTATAGGCAGGATATCTATGCGAGAAAACAGGGTTCAGAAACAGCTTTGTTAGGGTGAGCATTAAGACCTATTTGTTTGCCTACTGATTTTATTCAGCATGGATCTGGGCTTTCAGGCAGTAGTATATCATAGTTTTAAACCCATAATCATTAATGAGTCTTGTGGATACGTTGCCTAAGTGATTTATAAGAGTGCTTGAATTCCAAATGGAGTAACAGGATCCTATAGGCATGATTTCTATGAGTTTGTCAATGACAGACCTATAGGCATGATTTCTAAGTGTAGTACTGATTTTAACTCATAAGGATAGTTTTATTTCTTTTAAATCATATGGGCATGCTTTCTAATTGCTGAATTGATTTAAACCCCTATAGGCAGGATTTCTAAGTCTTAGAACTGATTTCACTTTATATAGCTGATATCTACTAATCGTATTTAAACAGAAATTAATAGATTGCCAAGAAGTATAATTGACTCAAACAAACAAGATCCTATAGGCATGGTCACTAATGCACATTGAGTTGAAAATATGTGTAGATGCTATGAACAGGATTTCTAATACAGAATCAAACGTGAAGTACTATGAGCAGGGTTTCTAGCATGAAAATGATCATGAAAAATCCTATAGGCAGGATCTCTAAACATAGTACAGTATCCACATAATTTAATCAGCATAGTTAAGTCCTATAGGTAGGATTTCTATCCAATTGCAACAAAGATATAAGCATAAACCCCCCAGCCTTTACTAATTAACCCCAAATCTATTATTACAGAGATTATTACAGCCCAGAATAAATGAATTACATAATAGTAATGATTACACTATAGGGAGCCTTCCTAGGCCCAAACTAAACCTGGGAACCAGGCCTTCAAGCATAACAGCTCTAAAGCAATAGCAGTGATCCATTCACAACACATTAAACCAGGCTTCCAGTGTGTCAAAATTCCCAAAGAGCCTCAGAGACACCGGGCAATGCTCACACTAGAACCACACATTCAGCACAGAGTTCATAAAATATTAGAAAACCAGCCCAATGTGTCAGAGTACAAAGGAGTCTCAGGGACCAAAGGCAGTGCTCACATTGGGGGTAGTGAGAACCTAAATGACTAAGAGTAGGAGTTTGAAAAATTAGTGCATAAGGGATAATAGGGCAAGTTTTGAAATAGTTCAATTTTCAGAAAAGATAAAGTTCAGAATACAAAGTTGCAGGCAGAACTGCTCCAATAAGCAAACAAGATTTAGGTTCAGCATACAGTACAAATATGGTGAAGTCTGATTAAGCTAAATACTTATGCTGGCATTTGAACCAGTCATGGCTCAGTCATAGAAGCAATTAGGCAGAAGACATTTGAATTGAACAGACATGACAGATGAGTTAAGCACAAACATGCTTGATTACATGCTTAGAGTTCAGAACAGGTATAAAGCTAACAAACAAATCAAACCTTAAACTAACTTATGAGAGGATTCCTATTATTCTAAATGCCTTAGTCTTAAGTTAACAGTATTATCAAATTACCAGATAAGGGACAGAATCATGCTAGGAATTGAAACAGGTTACTCAAACAATGCATAGAGAAAGGTAATTGCAAAGATTAGGGCATACCAGTTGAGAAGAAAGAAAGTAAAGATGCAGTAACAATTATGTTCCAGAATAATTTGGCCTTGGATTTCAGCCGGCCAAACAATAGCCACTTAGTGCAAAAATCAGAACAAGAGCAAGAGAGAGAGTTTAAGTTTAGTAGTGAGAATAGGAGAGTTCGAGTGTTGTTCTAAAGGGGAAAGGGGAAGGGTTTAACTAATGCTCAATGAGGTAGACAAATAAGGTAATGCATCAGTCCTACACAAATAAGGCATGAGAATAACTTCATAATCAATTAAAGTCGGCTTCAATCAATTAACAGGGCATAATAGCATAAAATCATGCTAGTACCACTTAATTTAGGGAAAGCATTATATGGAATCAATCAGTAGTCAAGTGCTAGATCAAAATAAGGTAAAGAAATAATTTCAGGATCAATTTGAAGTCTAGTTTAGGGACAGATAATATAGAGTTCAGTCAATTAACGAGTAATCAGGCAAGTATTACTCATAATAAGGTAAGTATCATATAGAATCAATTACCAATCAGCAAACATGGTAAAGAAATAAAGGAATGAGGTAGGTTGAACAAAATAAGAAAAGTATCAGTACTATATGAGAAAGGAAAGAGTAAAAGTCTCACATCCTAGTTTTAGGTAAACCACAAAATCGGTAGTAAAATAAGGACAAAATAATCATATACTGTGTACAGTGAACATAGACAGGAGATTTATTCAAAAAGCAATAAAGAATCGAACTAGAGAAAGATCTAAAGCCCTAATTTTAAGGTAAGACACTCAAATCAGTCAGAGTAAAAGAGAATAACACAGATTCATACCAAATAAATATATACAGGAGTTTATTAAAGGAAACTCATAGCCGAATCAGTTTTAATTCAAGTAAAAGAAAAGGTTTGAAACCCTAGATTCAAGTAAATCACAGAATCTATCAAAAATTAACATATCGATAAATAATAGAGTAAATATAGACGAAGAAAATGCTTTTAAAGGACAGAGTTTGAACCAGATCTAGTTCAAATCAAAGAGCATTTGAAACCCTACTTTGGGGTAAGTAAGAATCAAAGAAGATATGAACATGTTCGTTACGCACAAAGACTCAGAGATGAATATAGACGGAATAGCCATAGAAATTAGAGAGTTGAACTGATTTAGTTCGATTTTGGCAAGATTTGCTTGGCATGTTAGGCAAGCAACTAAATAGGATCATAGACAAGTATCAAGTGGTGAGGAAAGACTAATAAGGTAAGGGGATCCATGGTTGATTCCATATCTGGTTGGAATCGAATGGGGAATTAGGGTTACGGCGCTAGGGTTTTAAGAGGAGGAGAGGTGAGAGATGAGAGAGTTTGAATACGGCGGGGTGGGTGAAATGGATTAGAGTTAGGTTTTTGGGTGTAATTAAAATAAGGGAAAAGGATATGGACCGTTGATCTCAGAGATCAACGATCACGATTAAAGGGGTTCCGAATCGGGTAGCTAATTGGGTAAGGGTAATTGGGTTAGGTTATTGGGCTGGGGGTAATGGATAGTGGGCTAGGTCCGAAAAATTAATTAAAAGGGGCTATGTTTTAAATACCCATTTAAATTATTAAAAGAATTTATAAAAAAATACTTATGAAATGATAAAAAATGTCATTTGTGCATAAAAATAATTACTTAATATTATAAAAATATAGAAAGTCATTTTATATATAGATATATGCATATATATGGGCTATTATTGCAAAATATGCAGATCTAGCCTTAAAAATGCAAATGTAATTATAAAAAATATAATTAAAATATTTAAGCACTATATCGACATAAATAATAAATTTAGATGATTAAATTATCATAAACATTATATGAGAGATAATTATTGGCTATTTGTATAATACAAAATGTAGAAATAACTTTATATAAAGCTTTAAAAATTATAAAAATACTTGTGCATGTTTATAAGTGCATGTGCACTATTTTTTAAAAATATATATGCATATTTAAAATATATGAGGAAAAAATTGGGTATCAACATTGCTGGCATCCATATGTTGCATATCCAGCTCAACCAAGTTTGGGCCCCCTTGTTTATGTTTGTTTTTTCCATGAACTGTCTCTTGCTCCACTTACCCAAAAAGTCTCAAGTATATACGGTTAATCAAGTTTTTACTCTTTTTAACCTATGATCGCCTGATTATTTACTCTTGTGTACATGTTTATGGCTACAGCTAAAATATCTTATTTACCCCATGAAGCCACACAATGTCGCCATGGTTTGGATCCCATTTCGCATATAATTTTCACATGATATTCAAGTTTGCCTTGCCCTTTGGTCCTTGAGCAAATCGTAACCAGCCTCCCTCTTTTATCTTTGTAACTATATTCTAGTAAGTCTTCTTTGTAGCATCAAAATTCAGTGGCCTCTCTACCAATTGAGGGAGCACTCGCTTTTAACATATGTTGTCCCAGAACTTGCATGTATGTACGCTCACAAAGTTCTTGTCCCCTACAGATTTTTCAGCCAAAGCACTTGGCTCCCCAACATCCTCTAGCGGTGGAATAACAATCTCATCATCAGATGAGTGAGAATCAAACTCTAACTCAACCATATTTTGTGACTTTCCTTCCCTTATACATTCACAATCTTTTCCTTTTTAGCCAAAGGGGACTTTGAAGCTCCCTCTTGAATTTTAAATGGAACCACTCTTTGCCTAGATGGCCGTGATTGTGGTGTGCTTTTTTTTGTCTGTATGGACTGCTCAATGTTCTATGTGGTTTCCTTGTATCCACTTCAGAGGTTCCTTTTTGCACATTTTCATGCTTTTGTTTAGTTCTGACTTACTTACTTTCCTTTGAGGGGTCATTCTTATCACTTGACATCCTTTTAGGAGAGGTTTACCATCTTCTCTCGCTCTGTGATTGTGAGTTGGTGTTTAGATACTACAAATGATAACTAAAAAGATCAATGAATCAATGTTAGTTCAACTTGCATTAACAAGCCATAGTAGTGCGCACCGCACCCCACACTTAGCTCTTGAGTGTAGGTGTGCAATGTTAGGCCTGAGGGACTACTACAACCTACTCTTACAAAAACAAGTTCGTTCAACATAAGTTAAAACCAAGTGGGCAAAGGCGACACATGAGTCGTTTCTAAATCAGCAATGGGTTGATAGTCATAAAAAATAAATGTAATTTAAATTCAAGAACTCCCAAACAGCCAACCCACACTTAAGGGCTGCTCACTTTGCCATCAGAAGAAGGCTCGCTACTCGGACTTCACAAAACCCATTAAAAAAGTCGCTTAGGCATTTTATCAAACCTATTATGTGCGTAGTTTGTTCTTTGCTTGTTTTGTCTCTTTTGAATCATCAACCCCCCCCCCCCCAAAATTGAGTGAGGTGGTAAATATTATAGTTTCTTACCTTATTTTATTCAATAATAAACCAAACAAGACCCTTTAATCCCCTAATTTCTTGAATTTTCTACCCTACTCAACTTACAACACAAAGTAACCTAAAGAAAGAAGAAAAACAAAAGAAAAGAGATGAAAGAGGAAAAAGCAGTTGACGGGGTGAGGAAAGGACGAAGGAAAGAGAAAACTTACTTGTTGTCCTTGAAGATGGAGGGGAACAAGCAACACTAGGTGGTGGAGGGTGATCGAAGAGAGAGAAGAGAAGAGAAGAAAAGAAGAAAGATGGGGTTTTGTGTTTACCCGAGCTTGTCGGGGTCTCACGCGACGTGAGAACTCCAAATGATCTAAAGAATTCACCCAATAAGGTCTCGTGATGTCTTGTGACACTATTTCTGAGTATCACCCATTAGCATTGTTTTAGACCTGCACAACTTACAAATACATGAAACAACCCAGTATATAAGGATAAATAAGAAAATTTTGTTGCCTGCCAACAAGTGCTTAATTTAACATCGCGACTGGATGAACTATAGTACCACTTTAGGTTGCCTCCCATGCAGAGCCTAATTTAACATTGCAGTACGATACATAATCCTCTCTTAGTTGTCTATGAGAACAATCTTTAACTTTTTACAATCAATGTCACCACACAAATAATGCTTCACTCTTTATCAGTTTACCAAAAATGTCCTTTATTCATTCAAAGCGTGCTACTTAAATTATCTACTAAATTGTTTTGTACACAGTCTCAATTTTACTTGCATATTATATCTCAGTCTCTATTGTTCTTTGTTGATACATTATATCATTTTTGTTTGGGCTGATTTTCATGATTACTGAGAGTCCAAGAGACTCGAGAGGTTGACTACTGAGTGAGGCCGAGGGCCTGATTGTGAGGATATCTATTGGATCGGGCTACATGTCGCAACTTATTTCATTAATTTATGCTATGATTCGCTTGTTATAGCGCTTGGGTTAAAGGAGCCCTTCCGGAGTATGTACACACCCCCATTGAGTGCAGGTACCTACTGAGTGCGAGTGCCAAGTGCTGAGCGACTAAGAGGAATGAGTGGCTGTGAGGAATGAGTGATTGTGAGGTTGGAGTGAATGAAAAGACTGAGTGACTGTTGCTTTGAGAGGATTCATTTGACTTCGTTACTGTTGCACTTCAGATTTCATATATCACCGTCTTGAAATTTTTGAGAGATGTTATATTCTGTTTCATTTGAACTTGACATGAATTAATTGTTTTGGCTTTAATTGTCAAACTTGAAAGCATGCATACCTTCCTATGTTGAAATTACTATAACTAAACTATAACTGTGAAGCTCGTCACTGCTTTCAATCCTTTATTTAGGCTTGTTACTTTCGAAGTTGGTTGTACTCACCTTACACCCTGCACTTTGTGTGCAGATCCAGGTATTTCCGAACACGGTGGTTGTTGATTGCTTTCTGCAGCTCGATCGTTGGAGATTCCAAGGTAGTTGCCCCGTGTTCGCAGACCTTGTCTCTCCTTCCCTATCTTTCCGCATATTGTATTTAGTTTTAGACTATCACAAAGAGTATTTTTCAGACTTGTGATGTATAGATACTCATGTACTATGTGACACCCCGATTTTTGGGAACTTCCATGTTGAGTTTTGGGTTTCTATCCTTTTTATGAGAATTTTTATCACTTAAACTGATTTAGCTCATTTTTTGTTAAAAGTGTTGGAAATATTTTGAAATGTCGATTTACCTAGTACCACGTTAGGCACCATCACGACAGGTTATGATTTTGGGCCGTGACAATTACCACTTGCATTATACATCAACTCAAATGAATCATTCTAGTCCGAAAACACTATAATTGGTGCATTCACTAGCTTCCTCTTCAGCTCCTCAAATAGCATCATCAAATTTTCAAGGCACATCCTTCTCAAGCAACCTGCACAAAAGAGAAGAAATTTTAGAAAAAATCTCATCGAACTAATAACAGAAACATGCATGTACCTAGAAACTACGAACTCCTTTAATGGAATGCGGGGAAAACTTCTCAATTGCTTCTACCTTGGCTTTGTCAACTTCCAGTCTATCTTAGTACACATTGTGTCCCAATATTATGCCTTCTCGCACCATGAAATGACACTTCTCCTTGTTCAACACTAGATTTATCTCCTCAGATGTAGCAAGAACTTTAACAAAATTGGTGAAGCATTCATCAAACAAATCATTAAACATAGAAAAGTCATCCATAAAGACCTCAACAATCCTTTCCACCCTACTGGTAAAAATTACCATCATACACCTTTAAAAAGTTGCAGTTGCACTACATAATTCGACTGTATTGTCTTAAATTCATAACTACCATAATAGCATATGAAAGTGGTCTTTTCTTGTTTTTTCAGAGCAACATCAATCTGATTATACCCCAAGTAGCCATCAAGAAAATTGTAGTATTCCTATCCAGCTAACCTATCTAGCATCCGATAAATAAAGAGGAGGAGAAATAATATTTCAGTGAGAGATTATTCAACTTTTTGTAGTCTATGAAAATTTGTCAACCAATTACTGTCGAAGTTGGGATTAGTTGATTTTTCTCATTTACTAATATTTTCATACCTCCCTTTTTGTATACATATTGAACTAGATATACCCACTTATTGTCTGAGATATGAAATAGAATACCTGCATTAAACTACTTAATTAATTTCTTTCTTATCACCTTTTTCATGATCATCCAGCTAGCCTTGATGCTCCACACTAGGCTTGTGTCTTTCCTCTATAAGGATCTTGTGTATGTAAAAAGTAGGGTTGATACCTTTTATATAGGTATTGTCTATCCAATGACGCGTTTGTTCTCTCTAGAACTCTTAACAATATATTTTCATGTAAGTAAGATAAATCAGAAGAAATAATTATAGATAAAGCGTTACAACTACCCAAGTATACATAATAAAGATGAGAGGATAAAGTTTATGATAAACTTTGGAGCCTCCTCAATAGAAGGCTTTGGTGGCGGTCCACTTGGCATATTTAGGGACTCAAACTGGGGTTCTTCTCTGATGTATTTACATGATGCATCTGGAAAATGTATCATCTTACCAACCTCCTTATCAAGTTCTAAACTGCCAAACAACATAAGTGCTTTCTCTAGAGAATCGTCTAGATAGACACTTGAACCCAAAACTAGATCATCTACTTCCAGTATAGAGATCATAATAAGGTCTTCGTAATGACGAGACAACTGAATCACCCGGTATACATTGAAAACTGACTCTTTGTTGTCCACTCTCATGATCAATTTTACTTCCCTAACCTTGATGGTTCCATCTCCAATAGCCAAGAGAGGACATTCAAAAATGATATAAACTTGCTCATCAGCCTCATAGTCTAAACTAATAAAATTTGTTGGGAAGATAAAATGTTCAATCTATAGCAACACATCCTCAATCACTCCTTCTGGATAAGCCAATGACCTATGTGATGATTGTAACATGATTGTGGTAGGTCGTAGAGCCCCCAAGACTAATTGCTTAAATAATGATAATGAAATCAGATTTATACTGGCACCTAAACCATATAGAGGTCTACTTATATCAACTTTACCAATTAGCACAGGGATGGTGAAGTTACCTGGATCCTTTAGCTTTTGCAAAGGCTTTCTTTGAATCTTTGAAGTGCACTCTTCTCATGGCCCAAAATCCAACTAGTCGTGATGGCACCTAACCTAACTCGCTAGGTAAGCCAGTTAACACCTATCCAGTTTCAATAAAATTTAATAAGACAATTGAGTAAAAGAAAATATCTGAATCTTATACATTTTACCAAGGACTGGTAGTACAAATCATGAGCTTCTAAGAGTAAAATTTACAAACCTCGTATGAAATAAATATATCATTTGTTCGAAATGTACATAAACAGAATTTTGATGAATCTAAGACTACCATGAACAGGAGGCAACTACAACCGGAACGCAGGTACATCTGCAATTCCAACTCCCGTCGATCACAACAGCATCAGCATCCAACATCTGCACGTAAGGTGCAGAAGTGTAATATAAGTACAACTGACCCCATGTACTCAATAAGTAACAAACCTAACCTTAGGTTGAAAGTAGTGACGAGCTGGAACAAAGGTCGGAGTCCAACACCAATAGCAAATAACAGTTCATAACAGCATAATGAAAGTAATAAAAGAAGTAATTCAGAGATAAAATGCTCAGCTCGTTCATAGTTGTAGAAAATAAGCCATTTTTCTTCAAGTATATCAGTGAAAACCTAATTATTTTACTGGAATCGCTCAAAAATATAAGTAAGTTTGAAAAATTGTGATTTTTCCTAAAAATCCTTTCGACGGTAAATAAGATGTTTAATTTTTCTATATAGCAAAGAGTAAAATACATCTCTATGCCTATATGTCAATATGTGTGAGAAGTCATGAATGACATGATACCGTACAACAAGAGAAAAATGCATCTCTATGCCTGTATGTCAAGTGTGCATGTCAAATGCAATGTATCTCAGAGATGAACTCATGTATCCACAATCTTAGAGTACTCAATCTCACTGTCTCACACTTTTTACTCATCATGCTCAACCACTCGACATGCTCAGTCACTCAGTAGAGTATATGGCCAATCCAGACCAGGGAAGATCCATCCCCGATATATACATAGCGTTTGTCAGTCAGTCACTCAGTACTGTATAAGGCCAATCCAGCTCAGGGAAGATCCATCCCCAAATATAAATACTTCGGGCAAGATCCATGCCCAAGAAAGATTCGTCCCTCAATATAAACCAACCGCGCTCACTTGAGGTGTGTACAGGCTCAAGAGGGGCTCCTTCAGCCCAAGCACCATAATAAACCAGATCCAAGCATAAATCATTATAACATGTTGCGGTGTGCAGCCCGATCCCATACATCACTCACGCTTAGACCCTCGTCATCACTCAATCATCAATCTCTCCAGTCTTTCGGGCTCACAATGCCATGAAACTAACCCACAATGATGATATGATGTGTTAATAAATAGCATCAGAGACTGAGATATGATATCAAATGAATGAATATGACTGAGTATGAAATTGCAATTTAAACAAATAATTCAATAGCAATATGACCTCAGTGAGTCCCAACAGAATAAGCATGTAGCCTAGACATGGTTTCAAACATGGATCACAACTCAATAACTCTAGTACGCAGAGATTTCATGGTTACAGATAACATCTGGTAACTATACAGTACCATAGGAATAACAGAGCCAACATTCACACGGTGCACGCCCACACGCCCGTCACCTAGCATGTGCGTCACCTCAACATCAAACACATAATACGTAATTCGAGATTTCATACCCTCGGGACTAAGTTTAGAAGTGTTACTTACGTCGAACAAGCCAAATCTAATACCGAGCAAGACAATGATGCTCCAAAGATGCAATCACGCGCCTACCGACCTCCGAACGACTCAAAACTATCCAAAAGCAACTCAAATACATCAAATAAAACCTAAGGAAATAATTCCAAATGATAAAGGTCGAATGCTCAATCAAAATCCAAAACCGGCCAAAAGTCACACTTGGGATCGCGCCTTAGAACCCAACAAAACTTATAAAATCCGATAATCCATTCAATTACGAGTCCAACCATACTAGTTTCACTCAAATCCGACTCCAAATCGATGTTCAAATCTCAAAAATTCACTTTATAAAGCTTTAGGAAAAAACCCCCCAATTTCTCTTTAAAATTTCATCAACCAATTCCCAAAATCGAATATAGATTCATGAAACATAACCAAAACCGAGTAGAGAACACTTACTCCAATCCACATGGTGAAAATCTCCTAAAATATTGCTCCAATCTGAGCTTCATAGCTCCAAATATGCAAAAAATAACCAAACCCTCGAACTTAAAGCATGTTGCCCAGCATTTTCCGCATTTGCGGACAGTAGGTCGCATTTGCGACCTTCGCTTTTACGGTGAAAAACTTTGCTTCTGCGAAAACAGCCTGACCCAGCAAACCCTGGCACCTGCGGTATCAAACTCCGCTTCTGTGAAGACCCTCGCAGCTACGCTTCCATTCGACGCACCTGCGCATCTGCACCTGTGCCAAATTCTCCGCTTCTACGGGCTTTCTCACCCGGCTCTCACCTCGCTCCTGTAACTGCTTTTTCTCTTTTGCAACCATCGCACATGCACAAATTCAACCGCTGGTGCACAACACCAGTACCAGCAGCTACCAGCAACCAAATAAGAATGAGAAATGGTCCAAACCTCATCCGAAACTCACCCGAACCACTCGGGACCCTGTCCAAATATACCAACAAGTCTCATAACATAACACGGACCTACTCGAGACATCAAATCATACTTAACAACATCAAAACGATGAATCGCACCTCAATTTGAACTTAATGAACTTTGAACTTTTCAACTTCTAAAACTCGTGCCGAAACATAGCAAATAAATCCGAAATGAACACAAATTTTGCACACAAGTCCCAAATGATATAACAAAGCTATTCCAATTCCCGAAACCACAATCCGAATCTTATATAATCAAAGTCAAATCTTGGTCAAACTTATGAACTTTCCAAACCTTCAAATGTCCAACTTTCACCAATTTGTGTCGAAACCTTCTAGAAACATGCAAATCCGGATATACGCCCAAGTCCAAAATCACCCTCCGAACTTAACAAAATCATTAAAACTCCAATCCAAGGTCAAATACTAAAAAGTCAAACTTGGTCAACTCTTCTAATTTAAAGCTTCCTAGTTGAGAATCATTCTTCCAAATCAATTCTGAATAACCTGAAAACCAAAACTAACAATTGACACAAGTCATAATACATCACATGGAGCTACTCATATTCGTAAACTAGCAAGCAAAGTGCAAATGCTCAAAATAACCGGTCGGGTCATTACAACTCTTCAGTGAGTGCTACGTCTCAAACCCAGTCAACATTCTCTTTTTCGCCTTATTGTCCTTGATGTACTTAGCATATTTCAGTTTACTACGAAACATGTCCACCAATGTGATGTTCAAATGTACCTATTTCAACTTGTCAAGGAATTTGTTAAATATGTAGTCATCATTCTTCTTCTTCAGCCTCTGAGAGAAAGGCGGCAGACCCCTTTCAGGTATTGCTTGTTCAGATTCTACATTGATCTTTTGTTTCACCTCGACGGGTTTTGGAGTTTTTTCTTCTCCTAGCCTAGGCTACTCATTTTTTTTGTTAGTTCTATATGTCTCATCAGCAGGTGATCTGGAGATACTCTCTTATAAGGAATGGGTTGTGCTTTACTCCACACCCAAGGAGATTAAAGTTGACAGTTCGAGGGGACTACGGCTGGGCTCGACTACACAAAGAAAGCAGTACACAACAACAATAATAACAACAACAACCACCCAGTATAATCTTATAAGTGGGCTCTGAAGACAGTAGGATGTACGCAGCTTTACCCCTACCCTGAAAGGGAAAAAAGCAGTACACAACACAGAAGCCAAACTACATTGCTATGAAGCTACTGGGCTGTGTATTGCAAAAGATTCATCAAAGTTCAAGACTATGGGCACTCATGTTTTCAAATTATCTTGCCTACTTAGATATGTTGCCAATGAATATATTTTGTAGTCCAAAATAAACTTGGGTTTCATTTACTCAACGATGGTAGCAGGGGCTATGATATTCACATGTTCATATATATATATATATATATATATATATATATATATATATATATATATCCCTATGCAGCTTTACCTATAGATTTGAAAAAAAGAAAAGAAAAAGAGATTGAAGGTAAGCATACGCTCACCTTAGCTTTTACTTTGGAGAAGTTAGAAAAATCTCTTCACTTTCTTCGAGGGAATATCACAGTATCACAGAATTAATACTATCTACCTACTTTATGTGTTTTATTCTATGCTATATAAGATATATAGCGTTACACTCTTGGAAAATTAAAGTAACCCTAGTTTTATGGGATAAAGCTATGGAGTACTGGGAACTGGAAAGATTTTAATTTCAAATAGACAAATACGCCTTAATTTGTATGTAACTTTTCACACTTGTTATTTATGACTTGGACAAAGGAAGTAAGAATCGAACTCATAATTATGGTATAAAAGAGTCCAGACCCTGCAGGTACACTAGAGTATGAGTCTTACCGATTTTTCTTCTTGTATTCATTTCTATTTCTCTTATTTTTTGTCCTTTATTTCTCTGAGAGAAGTACCAATATTGATGTGTACCTATATGCATAATAGACTACAAATTGGCTTAGCATCATTCACAAATTGCATGAATTCAGAAAGATATAGCCACCTCAATCTAGTGGGCTGCTAAATAATATTGAATTAATATTCTCTACGTATTCTCTCCACTCTTTTGTCTCTCTTGTCCATTTCAGAAAAAAAGTTTAGTGGATGTTTCTACTACTGTAGAATGATGCTATTCTTCAAGTCATGCTCTGCTATTGGATAAGAACTCAAATACTGAAGTGGGCAAATTAGGTAGGATTGGAGACAAGGGAAATAGGAGTCGAACTCATAATCTAAAATGTTTATAATTCCTTTTTGCCACTATATAAAAAGCTTTTCTTATGTTAATAAGATTCGAAAATAAAAATTTATACATTTAATTTTTTTTTTATTTATGCACATTATAATTTTCTATAAGGGAATTTAGTGACCACCCCTCGAACTAATGTAATTCTGCCACTGCATATAACTACGTGACCTTCTCTAAGAGGTAACTAAAAATTTCGTCTAGTTTAATTATATAGATCTAGTTTAAGTCGTATTTTGATGAAACTTTTAGCTGAGTCAAGGTGATTTTAATAATTGGAGATTTGGAGTGGACGTATCTTCTGTTAAGAGTATTATATGCAACTTCTTGTAAAGGAGCTTTCAAAGAATATAAGTTTTTGACCTAGAGTGTGAGATAAGTGGATGTCTTCCTTGGATAATATCTAACAATTAAGCATCAGAAAAATATTCTTTTCGAAACTATTTTAAAAACATATTTTCTGTCGTACTAAACACACCAAAGAAACCCTTCTATTTTTTTATGGAGATCTTTTTACATATATAAGTATTTTGTTAAGAAATGTAGCTCAAAGTAATAATATAAAACAAGAAGATAAGTAATAGAATAAGAGAAGAAGGAACTTTCTTATTTCATCAAGTATTCAAGTGTGTCACATCTCACAATTTCATGGCTCTATTTATACTATGAAGGTTATAAAATAAAGGGGATCCTTAAGGTGCACATCGCCCGATGTTTGTGCTCAACTGTGGTCTTTAAGGTGAATTTGGACTGGGATAGATCCATTAAACTTTTAAACATAAGTTTCCAAATATATTTGTTTGGGCCATGACCCAACAAGTTTTGTTCATCATCTAACTATGGCCTTTGTCTCCTTTTGGTTCTTTGGATCTACTATATCGTGCTGTTTATATGGCTACTAGATGGGATAAACCCGTGCAAGCACGGGCCCAACACTTTGGATTAGAGTGTGTTTTATTTTGATAAATACTGTTTGCCAGCGTAAAGAATACAATATTATCTGAAGAACATGTATTTTATATCATGGTAAATTTTGCTTAAAAAAATATTGCTCTGTGATGAAGACAAGAATCACTTGTATGACCGGTTAACATTTCTTCAGCAGGAGCACTTGCAATAAGTAAGAAGTTCTGCGTCTTATTGTTGGAAAAATAAAAGTAACATTTAATGCTTTTTGCCCCATGAGTCTGATGAGATAGTATTTTCTAAGCAATGAAAAAACATGTCAAGATAAAATTAACATATTTTCTAAGCAATGAAAAAACATGTCAAGATAAAATTAACATTTAATGCTTTTTGACCCATGAGTCTGATGAGATATTATTTTCTAAGCAATGAAAAAACATGTCAAGATAAAATTAACATTTAATGCTTTTTGACCCATGAGTCTGATGAGATATTATTTTCTAAGCAATGAAAAAACATGTCAAGGTCTGTCATTCTACCTCCAATCCTGCTTCCTTCAGCAGTCATGGCTTAAAGATCTACAATATCAACAAGATTGTGCCAAAAAAACATATAGTCAGTCACCAAATGTACTTTAAAACATGAACATTCAGATGAAAGAATTAACAGCTAACGATAAATATGTTAATATAAAATAGTAAGCAGTTCTTAAAATTTTGTTGGAAAATTTACAATTAATATCAACAAGACTTACTGGTAAAGATGAGTAAGATTGAACAAAGAACATAATAAATTACAAAAAGTTTTCTCAATGAATACCAAAAGAGTTCGTAAAAGTGAACATATGAAGGTACTAATTTCAGTCCATAAAGAATAAGCAACCTAAGATTTCAATGCAAAGTTATAAAGCATGTTATTTTGGGTTGAAATAAAATGATAGCGCAACTTTCTGTAGCAACACGGTTAGTGTGACAGTACTTTGTAGTACTAACATAGGGAAGCATTTCAGTCTGTAAGACTATCTGACTCAATGAACGTGCAGAACAACACAAAGAGAAGGAAAGGAACTTTTCTCCACCTAAAAGTTCATTAACCTGCATCTGCATATGTAACACAACTATCACACTGGAAACATATATATATCTAATGGAATATATCATTAAGAGAAGAATAGAAGTAGTACGTAGGTCCAGTATAGTCCTGAACCCATCTAGAAATGGAAAGAAAGGTCATTAATAACAAGATGAGAAAAGAAATCTAGTTACAAGATAATTTTGCACGATGATTGTATTAATGCTGTATATTGTGTTAGAAACAATATTTGCCTGAACAAGCTAATTCTTAAGATCGCCCTTTAATGTAAGGGGAACACGAATCGCCTGAAAATAAGTTACTTACAGAAAGAACATCACAGAACATGTATGGCTAAAATATGATTTTCTTTGTTTTCCTCTTGAAGATAACCACTCTTCTGATAGAAATAGGAGAACAGAGAGTTGAAATTGAAGAGCTTTAGTATACGTTGCAGCTGGAAATGACTATGGAAACCTTAGCAAATAGTAACTTACCATCAGGAACAATAAAGCTTCAAATTTTATGGATTGCATGAATGAGCCTGTGATTCCGTCTATATCAAGAACAAGTATATGCTAGCTGACAATGGCAATCCCAATTTATAGTTATTTGTAGACCCTTTTCATTTAAGTAACTATATTTAACTTTTAAACATGGTTGATTTATAAGTTATATTACAGTTTGACTTAAAAGAGTAAAGATTCATCTGTAAAAGCTCATATAAATAGGTTGATTAAATGAGCCTTTGACAAAGTCTGCATCAGTTTGAGGGGATCCATCAATAAGAAACAGAAATTTCTTCTTAACGCTTTAACTATATGACAAGGGTATCACTGTTTTTATTTGGATTTACTTTTGAATAATGGAGCTTAAAACTTTGTTTGGAAAATTATAGTAGCTAATACCAACAAGAGTTACTGGTAAAGAATTTTAACTCACAAAAATTTTAACTCACCCTATCAGTTGTCTCTATTCCCATTAATTTACAGCAGTAGTCTTTGTTGTTTCGCTGATATATTCAAAAATTGATGATTGTGGTTGGGATGCCGCTGGACATAGCCCTGAAATCTCCTTTTAATGAATTCTTTGAGTCCTCAATTATGGAGATGGAGCTGCTATGAAAAACATATTAACAAAGAAAAGATAAGTTGGCTAAAACACCAATTTCTCTTCAAGCAGTTGAATTTCACAAAATCAAGAAGGATTCAACCATTATTTTAATAGAGCAAATATGGAACTGCAAAATACCAAGCAAAGCCATCGTCGGTGGCCGTCAATGGAGACTACAAAATTACCTATTTAGATTTTCTGTTAAATATATATGATGTCAATTATTTGTATGTATATGCATGATACTTGAATGAATATAATAAAGACATTAAAGAAGATTAATTGAATAACTTCCACTAGTAAAACTAATCACATCATTGAAATATGCAAAGATATTAATATAAAATAAAATAATGAAACAATCTCTAAGGTAGAAAATGAAATTACTATATCAAAATTTGATTAGTGTGACAGTACCTTTTAGTACCAACTTGTGAAAACATTTTACTTTAGAAGATCTCTTTAAAATACTTGCAACACAGATTATACGTGTTAATAAGCAGTAAAGGAACATAAAGACATCAAAATAGAAGATGAATAAGTTTTTAACTTATTTCTCATTTTGTTTCTTAAACGAACAATAGATTTTTTTTCGCCAACATATTAAATAGTGATGTATAAAAATTTATAAGAGGAAATCAGTAAGTACATTCAAATGGAGAAATAAAATACAACTGTTATTACCAATAAACAATAGACCCTCCTCCTTTGTCCGGGCTTAGGACCGGCTGTGTTACAATATAATTTAATACAGACGGAGTTAAGAACATTATTTTTTCCTGATGTAAATGTCAGCCAGGTCAGCTTCACAGAGTTGAAAAAAAATCACATAAATATGCAAGTAGCTTTTGTATTTATAGATTTGCAAAGATGAATGCTTTGACTTATTGGTCTTGGAAAGTTTCACAATATAAATATTTTGATTTGTATATTGTGCATCAAAAAACAATATCAGATGAGTAAAAGTTTAGAAAGGATTTGCAGATACACAAGCCAACTCTTATTTAGCACATAGTAAATTGCAGAGAAATTATCTCAAGTCTCAAGAAAATTATTAAATAAAGAATATAAGGCTAAACCAGGAATATAAAGAGGAAAGCTACAGACTTATAGAAGTGCTTTTTGAATGATTTCGTTATACACTATGTTATATGTAGAATGGTTATCATCGTTATCTATGGTAGGCTGTCGGATTAATATTTTAATACAACTTGAACTCTTTGCTCTGGATAAAACAACATATAGTTGGCCATGAGAAAACACTGGCTCACACAAATAAATACCAACATAATTTAATGTTTGCCCTTGCGCTTTATTTATCGTCATTGCAAAACACAGGCGTATTGGAAATTGAGTTCTTTTAAATGGGATAGGTAACTTTTCATCATCTGAAGATAAAAATGGTATTCTGGGAATAAATACATGTGTATCTTTAAAATCACCACTCGCAATTTTAGCGCTTATAACACGACTCTTAAAATCACAACATATCAGTCGTGTACCGTTGCATAAACCTTCACAAGGATTTAAATTTCGCAGCAACATAACAGGAAAATTTTCCTTCAAGATTAATTTGTAAGGAGGCAAACCAGCAGGGTTCAATGAATGTAAAAAAATCCTCAAACTGGCTCTGATCATTTGGTTCAACAGTTTCATCCATTGCAATAAATGTTTTAGCTTCTTTAGGGAATAGAGCTATAAGTCTATCATTTATTTCATCAACAAAGTCATTTTTTGTCGTCAAAATAACGCGCGAAGTTAAAAAGGAAGAATTGTGAAAAGACATGTGCAAATTAGGATATATTATGTTGAATAAAAGATCCAAAGATTATTTTTCAGTAATATAAGGAACAATGAAAGACCCCAGAATTTCTATTTTATTATCCATGTTTGTTTTTTCTTTTCCATTTCCAATTCGCATCAAATATTCACAAAACGAAGGATTAGTTTTGGCACGCATATTCTCTGATAATCGTAGTTTTTCAAGTTTGTTCCATATTTCGAAATTTAATATGCTCTCCCGAATGAAATCTTCCTTTTTTCCACTTCAAACCACAGGAAGAGTTTGTCTAAAATCCCCTCCAAACACAACAACTTTTTCCGCCGAAAAGCACATTTGTGTTCGTTATATCTTTCAAGAGAGAATCTAAAGCTTCAATCATGATCTTTTTGGCCATTGATACATCATCCCACACAATCAATTTTGCATCACGAATCAAAGATGCCAGTGAGCTTTGCTTGCTAATATTGCAAGAAAATTTTTCATCGATATTAATCGGAAATTTAAAACGTGAATGAACTTTTCGTCCTCCTGGAAGGATCGAAGCTGCAACTCCAGAAGTTGTTGTTGCTAATGCTACAAATCCTTTAGATCTCACAGTTGCTAATAAGGCACANTTGCAAGAAAATTTTTCATCGATATTAATCGGAAATTTAAAACGTGAATGAACTTTTCGTCCTCCTGGAAGGATCGAAGATGCAACTCCAGAAGTTGTTGTTGCTAATGCTACAAATCCTTTAGATCTCACAGTTGCTAATAAGACACAATATAAAAATATTTTACCACTTCCTCCAGGACCATCAATGAAAAATGCTCCTGATTCATTAGAAAATACTCTTTGCAAGATTATGTCGTATGCTATTTTCTGTTCTGTATTTAATTTTCTATGCAACAACAAATCTTCGTTACTCACAATGATGTTTCTTTCGAAATATGCTTCCTTCGCATCATTTGCCATTTCGAAGATGTAATATTTTCTGAAACAATATTGAACTCATTAATATCACGACCCATAGAATGCAGTATATCATTAACGTGATTCAGAACAGCGAGGTGGATATATTTTGATGTTATATTGGCTAGGATTTTAAAATCTTCGAACATTGAATCATCAAACTGTTCCCACAGTTCTCTTGGATTATCAGGGTTGCAGTATACTAATATTGTAGCAAATAAACGTCTTAAACTATAAGGCATTTGATAACATGCAGCCTCTAACATACATTCAATCAAGTTGTTGTCACAGTGTAACAACCCTCTTTTTTCTGCAGATTCTCTAAATGTGTTGCAGCATATTCCATTTACTGTTAGAAGATCTTTGTATGATTTTGGTGCTTTCACATTCATTAGTAATAATCTAAGGTAATATCTTTCTCCCTCTGTTGGATGACATGTTACAACCCTACCAATAACGTGACTTTGTTGTCATCGAGTCCACATTTTATAGGTAGATGACTATACGAAGTGTTGTGGAAAATCTTTATACAGTAATTTAAGCTCTTTAGCATCTTTGTTTGTTTCATTCATCAAAAAGAATTCTGTCAACATCGTCTTCTTAATATCATAGGATTTTTCACGATACTATCTGTTGTGTCAGTTTTTTTAAAAGAGACAAACTGTAGTCTATCAAGATGTAATGGGAGGTGATAAACACTCGGAGCCATTTCACTAATAGAAAACGCAAATAAGCGCCACATAGCTTCTGGAGGTGACACCCATCTAGAGATTGATACTCTTTTATCTCATCTATTTGTGTATTTTTGTTATCTTCGTATAAGCCAAATGATATCTTATCATGTCCTTTACAGATATATTTCTTTCTCACGGTGAAGAAGAAGGTTGTGAAATTCTGAGCGATAGAGAAAAACAAAGAAGATGAACAAATAAAGATAGAGAGTGACCTATCTGTTATACTAAAGTACCGTTGATTTCACCAGCTGTCATATTGATCACACGCGTAGATTTTAGCCAAATTTAGGAGCAATATGAAATGACCAGAATACCTGTATTGGGAAAAAACTGAGTCTGAATATTGAAGATGACGTGTCATGACACATGGACTGGTCAAAAGGTCAAAACGCAATAAATAGCCAAGAGGCACGGGAGACAACAGATATGGGGAGAACAAAGCAACATAAGTGTGGACCGTTACTCAAATGGCACGAGTCTCGTACCTATTCAAGTCATTTAAAGACCGAAGATCGGAAGAAGTTGAAGATACGAATATGATGACGTAAAAGAGTCTAAATACAACATTAAATATCAAATACATTAGAATATTTGAATTAAATAAAAATGATTGTGTAACGTTTCTTTTAATGTCATTTATTGCTCATAATTTCCTCATTAAAACAAAGGCATTACACCTCCTCCTAGAATCAACTATAAAAGGAGAAGGACTCAACATTTGTAGACACACGAAATATTATTGAGATTACACTTAAATACAAAACTACTTATTACTTTATTATTCTCAGAAGTCTTCTATTATTTTCGTCTCCAGATTATCAGTAACCCGGATTTCTCTTTATTTCTAGCTTTGACTAAAGACTCAGATTTTTGGTTAAACAAATTGGTTCTGTTACCGGGAATCTGATAATCTTTTCTTTTAAGCTACATTCTATCCGTTGTTATCATCATGTCAAACAACAATAACAACAACAACAATAACAGTGAAAACACCTTGGGAAACCATGAAAATCAAATTCATCAAAATCAAGGAGATTTACAGAACATTGACGTGGTTCCCTCCCCTCAAAATTCACCACGTCAATCTCGTGAAGGCACTCCTGCTCCTGAATCTCGTGCTGATCAACAAGAGCAATCTGAACATTTTGAAGGGGTAGATGAAGCTTTACAAAAAGTAATTGATGCACGGGTTAACAAAGCTCTTCAGGCTCTAGTTAGTCGATTACCTGTTGCACCACCCACACCTACACCTAATAATAATACATTGGAGAATCCTCGTTCTGGCCTTGTTAATTCTGGAAATGGAGGAACCCCCAGTGAACCACAGGAAGGAGAACCAGGTAATTCAAATAATTCTCATTTGCAAAATTTAATACTAACTTTGCAGAAACAGCTTAAGGAACAAAATGAGCGCATCGAGCAAATCCCTGGAGTTCCCCCTGTAATCAAAGGAGTGGATGTGGATAAATACTCACAACAACCTTGGAAACCAAGTGTTGCTCCCCTTTCAATCCCTAAAAAGTTCAAAATGCCTGACATCTCGAAATATGATGGCACAACAGACCCACGTGATCACGTAACTGCATTTACTACAGGTGTAAAAGGCAACGACTTGACCAAGCAAGAAATTGAATCAGTGTTGAGCAAGAAATTGAATCAGTGTTGGTCAAGAAATTTGGAGAAACACTCACCAAGGGTGCATTGACCTGGTATTCT